TACAAAGAAAACAAAACAAATAAGTTCAGAAATTAAGTTATGTGTAATAAAATGAAATGACACAGAGAAAAAGTATTGAGCACATGAAGAAAGGGAGGTTCAAAAAGGAATGGAAAGCCAAGACACCAGCTGAAATCTATCAGTAATTAGAAAGCAATCCTGCCCCTCGTCAGTGGAAATTAATATTAGCTGCTTCCCAACACCTACAGTACCAGGATGATGACGATGAAACAAGGGTGGACATTTCAGCAAGACAGTGATCCCAAACACAGCCAAGGAAACTCGACTGGTTTCAGAAAGAGAAAGTAAAGCTGCTAGAATGACCAGCCAATCACCTGACTTGAATCCAATAGAAATATATATATGACAAGTTGAGCAAATGTGCCATTAAATCTCATCTGAGCTTTCTTCTGGCCAGTGTCTGCCGCTTCCCTTTAGAAAGAGAGAGAAAAGAGTAATAAAACGGCCTGTTACTACAGCAACCATGTGCACCTTGACAACAGCATCTGAGATGACCTGAAGGGAGGGGAGATAGAGGCTCGGTTCTCATGCTTTCTTCAGTTTCCATGGGCTGTGTGCTTAAATATAATTAACTCAAAAACATTGCAGTAAATACAGTACAGCAGCCATATTACCTGATAAACAAACCTCAATACAATAACTCCAAATATAATCAAAAAGGCACATATGCTCTTGGTATAAAGTCAGGGTTTTTGAGAAAGTTAAAACATATCTGAGATATACAGTGTCTCTGTCTCATTTTAACCACAGTGGCTTCATTTCCCTGCTATCAGTCTTCACCATGTGGATTTCCATATTCCAATTGCTTCCCTCTTTTTAATGTCACTCATATATTTTAATAAATTTCATCGTGCAGATACTGCAGGGTGCTTCTCATGGCATGCATGGCATGCTTTCATAGGGAGAGATGTGAGGCTTCAGAAGCGCTGAGGATCAGCATGAAAATAGGCTAATTATACCAAACCTGGCCAATGTTCAGAAATACTAGATTCAGAGAGGCCATGAGTCATCTGCGGCCCCAGTGCAGTGGCATGATACACTACCAAAAACTAGTCAGTAGAGGTTTTAATAAGGGGGGAGAAAAAAAATCAGATATGTTTAGAGTGTGAATATGTTTCTATCAGACAGAATGAGAAGTTTACGAGGAAATCTACACATTAGAACATGACAGAATGTTGAAAAAGTAAAAAAAGATACGCATACATATGTGTTGGATGTCCTTTGCAAAGGTGCAGGAAACACTTTAGTTAGACTTTGTTTTAAGGTGTCCTTGTTACGGTGTAATTATACATTTAAGTACTGAGTAATATTAATTAACTACATGTACTTGGTTCGGATTAGGATTTGGTTTAGGGTTACTTGCATGTAATTATGCATAATTTATTGTTATTATAATAGTAAGTACATGTAACGTGTAACAAGGACATCTTAAAATACAGAGTTACCAACACTTCTCAGAAAAAACAGACCAGCATGTGTGTTTGAGCATCCCAACTAGTTCTGCTCATAGGCTCGGCCTGTGACACTGGAGTTTGGGGCAGGGCTGTGTAGTTGTATGATAGGTGTCATTCAATCAGATTTACTACATTTGAGTTTTGTAGTCATAGGAGGAAAAAAATTTACTTCTTTATTGTCATTCTGTCAAATCAACCTACCTAACTTCCCCAGCTAAAATGATTGATTTGGTAATATTTTTCTTTCTTGAATAAAAGCCAAAATATTAAATGTCATGGAGGAATAACAATGCATCTCCATGTGAGAATTGTTCAATTTTACCCCCTTTCAGTGGTTGAACAATCAAATGTGGGACTTTGGACCACTGTGTAGTGTACAGTTGAACAATTTACTCTCTGAGCCACATAGAAATCCCCATACCTGTGTAACTGAATTATATAGGGCCCTTTAAATGAAGATACCAAAAGAAAATATATAATGTTTCTAGACTTTAATGTTTCTTGACTTGCAAGCATGTAAACTTTGGAAAATAAAACCACACAAAAAGTGCTTTTTACCATTTGTTTCCCCCCATCGGCATATGCAACAAATGCGAAAATGCAACAAAGATAGTTAAAGTCTACAGATTTTACTAATAGATCTATAGACGTATAGATTTACTAATAGACCTACCGATCCCTGTGTAAAAATAACAGTGCTGCTGCTGTCTTTCTAAAGTAATTTCTCCCCCCTGGTATATTTAGCTTCAAATGTCAGGTGAAAATTCTCATTTTGACTGCCCTCTACAAAATAGTGGATTACTCGGCAAATATTCATCCAAGGCATTTCATATTTGGCCTTTTTCTTCATTTATGTATTTCTTTCACCAGAAAAAAAAAAATAAATCAAAATCAACATTTTTTATCTGAGGACCTGTGGTTGAGTTGACACAGGATGACCATATTGCAAATGTATGTGTTGTAATGAGTAATAATGATTCATTTCTGACATATTTTGGTTGGATTGTTTAGGGATTGTGGGAAAGAGCTGGGGACGTGTCGGGATCAGACCAAGATCATGTATGCCTGGGCCAGGAATGCTCCTCCAACCAAACTACCCAAAGGTGCTCTCCTTTCTCCTCATTATTTCTGTCTCACGGCAGCCAGATCAATCCACTCTGAGTTCAGCCAGTGCTGTTATAACTTACAAGTGATCATGAGTAAATGGCTCTTTCCTGAAAAACAATGGAAGACTGAAGTCATCTTGTTTTGCCCTCTTTTTTTTTTTTTCCAGATGTTGGCTTTAAAGTTGGAGGAGACACCAGAATTAACTACTTTGTGCTGCAAATTCACTATGGTGATGTCAAAAATTTCAGAGGTAAATACTGATAAATAGCTGATCAGCATGCTTTAATGACAGCAGCATCATCCAAACTTGGCCTGCTGATCAGAAATGGACTGTGTATGATGACATTAGTTAACATTTTCATCAACTCAGTCTCCTCTTATTGTGACATGATTTTGTGTCTGCGTGCCTGTGCTGCATAAAACAGCAGTATTTGAGCAATGTTGGTGACACGAGATGTGACTAATGTGTTTATCTTGTCTTGATTTTAGATCATCATAGAGACTGCTCAGGACTCACTTTAAGAATGACTTCCAAACGGTAAGTTATCGCCACTAGACCTAAGAATATCTGTGATTTATTCATAAGATGTAGCCTGCTTTTTGTCATCATTTACTCACTTTCCTGTTGTTCCAAACACGAATGATTTTCTTCAGTCGATGATGTTTCAAGCCTGACATGACTGAGCTTTTTTTGCAAAATGAGATTTGAAGAAGGAAGATTATCAAAGAATTATGACTTAAATTTGGGTTGGTTTATCACACAAAGATAATGTATGTATTAATTGCGAATGAAGTACTTCTATGGTGATTTTTCCATGTCTTGGAAAATATGAATGTGTTGATGGAACCTGAAAATGGCAGTATTATTGTCAATGCATTAGTTTGTTTGTTTATTTATCAATTCCTTGATTCTGATTGGTCAATAGAGTCATTCTACTGTGTATATATCACTGCAGAGCTTCCATTACGTCCATTGTGTTCTCATTGATCTGCTAAAGCATGTTTTAATGTGAGTGGAGAAACCACAAAATACAGGCTAATCAGTTTACACAGCATAATGTACGCCTGTTATGTTTGTAAAAGGTACATAAATCGGTGAGAATGCAATACACTTGTGAAAATACTTGCGTAAACAAGTCATCCACTAGGAACTGAATCAATATAAGCTTTTTTATTTTTATTTCACGTGGTGACTGTTGTATAAAAAACAAAGGACCTTTAGGGTAGATGCTATATTTCAAAGGGAAATGTTGACCGTAGTAAAAAAAAAACCCTGTGCCATAATTTATTTAAATACATTTCATGCTAAGTATACTTCAAATCCATTAACACATTTATTGACATCACTTAAGACTTACTGATATAAACCATTGTACTTCATTACTACTTTTGCACTATTAAAGTGCATTAAGCACAAAATTAGTTGTTCCAATTTAGCAGCCTTTAAGTAGACCAGTTTAGTATGCTAAAAGTACAATTACAGGGCATTTTTATTAAGCATGTAAATATGTAAATGTATTTGTAGTATACTTAACACAAAATAAATGTATTTCAAATACATTTTAGTATTTTTTCAGTAGGGTAGGGATTACTACTTAAGGTGTGCATTATTTTTCAATAATGTGATGCTGTTAGTTATTCCTTGCATAGTTATATACATATTACATAGACTGTAAATTTGATGTAATATGTAAGCAATTCAATATGGAAGTCAATAATAGTGTGGTGTCTTATTAACTGTAATTCATTTTAATGTGATGACTGTTGTGTGCTCTGTGCAGACAGCCCTTTATTGCTGGCATGTATCTGATGATGTCTGTGGACACTGTCATTCCTCCTGGGAAGAAAGGTACACCCAATCTGTGACATTTCAACTGTTTTCCAGTTTGGCACTAATAATCTTGTGAAAGGTGTCTGAGCTTTACCTTGAATGTTGTGATTGGTTATCAGTGCTTGTCAGTGCTCATTTATGACGTCTGATGTTTTTGGTGTTTGCAGTTACCAATGCAGACATTGCTTGCACTTACACATCCTCCCCGATGTATCCATTTGCCTTTAGGACACACACACACAGTCTCGGTGAGATACTGCATTTATTTACATCAACTAAGTTCTTATTTAGTCTTACATTTTATGGTGCGAACATATCTTGATCTTGTTGTGTGTCTTGTTCTTCAGGTAAAGTTGTGAGTGGGTACAGGGTTCGAAATGGACAGTGGACTCAGATTGGACGCCAGTCTCCACTGCTGCCACAGGTACATTTAAACGTGTCCACTCTGCCTGACCGAGCATGATTAATGCGTGGCATCTACAGAGGAAAGTTAATGCATCATTTGTCTCTGATAAGAGTTATGACCCATCAGTGTCATAGCGATATTTGTTTTCCCTGCTGTCAGACCTGTTTCCACTCTGTCTGTGGTATTTACAAAGGGATCAGTAAGCGCAATTTCCAGTAAGCACAATATCCAATACATGCATAATATAGAGTATGCACAGTATGCATTACTAGAGTCCAGCATGCTTTTCTTGTTTAGACAACTGCTGAGTTGTCTTGTTTAGAGACATGCACGAAAACAGCGTGTTTCTGCTTCCACTCTAAATAGGCATTTTCAAAATGATATAATAAATGATCTGTGGCAGCCCTCTACGGACACCTTGGCAATTGAATCGCCATTGGCTAGTAAATTTTTTAGTTTACTCGCCAGACTGATAATATATATATACAGTGGGTACGGAAAGTATTCAGACCCCCTTAAATTTTTCACTCTTTGTTATATTGCAGCCATTTGCTAAAATCATTTAAGTTATAAAAAGGGCATAATAGGTCTCCTTTAATGTTTAAGGAGTTTAGTTCACCAAAACAAGAACATTCTGTCATTATTTACTCACCCTCTTGTCATTGCAAACAAATTAGACTTTTGTTAGTCTTTGAAACACAAATGAAGAGATTTCTTGGCAAGCAAGCATGTTTGATCTTCTGTTTGCTGTCTTCATTAAGTGACCGTGTCTATTCAGAATTGTATGGATTACTTTTACAATGTCTTCATGAACTTTTTGAAGCTTGAAAGTTTTGGTTACCTTGACTTACTTGCAAGCATGAGCCGAAATATCTCAGGTTTCATTAAAAGTGTTTGACCTGTGTTTTGAAGAGGAATGAAAGTCTTGGATACTTAATATCTTAATGATTTTTGGCATAAAAGAAAAATCGATCATTTTGACCCATACAATGTATTTTTGGCTATTGCTACAAATATACCCCAGCGACTTAAGACTGGTTTTGTGCTCCAGGGTCACATATTAACTAATTAGGGGTTCAAGCATGAAACTCTGGCAGGGTTTTCCCAGCACTTTTGATAGTTATGGACGTGGCCTTGTTTACTATATTACTCACCAAAATATCAAATTTTGAAAAAGTTCGAAAAAGACATCAAAATTAAAATTACTTTTTTTTTTTTTTTCCAAAATCGTGTAGTTGTGCACAATTTCTTTTTTGCACAGAAATTGTAAGCATTGCATAAATTTAATGGAGGCAGATCTGAATATGAATCATGCTGTTCTGATTGGAATTTGGAATGCAACAATGCAAAAATAAAGTTTGCAAACACTGCAAGTGTTTGTGTTGTTTCTGACCAAAGTGCCATCTGATCTACCTGTAAAACAACCAGAAACAGTTTACTTTTTTCGTGATATTTAGGGGTGCGCCTGAGAACAAACCAAAATATATACTGTATCTCCTTTACTAACTAAGCTGCAAAAACAGTGGAAACCCAACAGGAGTATGCAGTTTTGAGAAATATGTTTCGAGAGGGTCTGTGGGTGTGTCATTTGAGCCGAATACAGTTCGGTTGGTTATCTGCAGTTTAATTGCAGCTTTGGTGCTGTAATTTGTCATTTTGTGCTAGTAGTTTGTTCATGTGTCATTGTGTCCTTCCTCACAGAGGCACCTCCAATGATGAGATGTGTAACTTCTACATCATGTACTACATGGACAACAGCCATGCTGTGCCTTACATGAACTGTGGAGATGACGGCAGTAGTGAGCTGTTCAGAAACATCCCTTCTGAGGCCAATATTCCCATCCCGGTCAGTCCAGACCACATGATGTCCATGAAGCATGAGTCAGCTCCTCATAAAGGTACCATCCAAAAATAGACGGTTGAAGATTTTACACTATGAGTGGGCAGTATGACTGAAGTCTTATACCATGGGATGAATGCATTACTTTTAGGGATAATCCAGTGAAACCAGAATCCAGTTAATATTTTGCAAATGAAATATACTTGATTTTGTTGTTGTTGTTTTTTCTTATTTCTTTCTTGATTTCCACAGATGTTGTGGAGCTGCAGGAGCCCAAGAGAGAAGAGGAAGTTCTGGATCAGGGTAAGATGTTTAAAAATACTCAAGATAATCAAGACTGAAACACACAATCACTGTGCTTGAATGACCATTGCAAATCTCCATTTGACAGACACAGTGGCTGAATGACATTCTTTTATTGTGAAAAACACAGTGGTTTAACAGTCAAACTGTAGTACAACTCATAAATAGAGGCTCATAGACATGAGGGTGTCAGATAAGGGAGATGTCCAAATGGAACAAAAAAATCAAACAGGATATGAGTGGCATGAGCCTTGATAAAATGTTAAACACTTCACACATTATATGATTCATTAGTGACATGAATAACTTTAAAGAAAGGGATATTATGGAAACCAAACAAAAAACCGCCATCATCTACTACTCCATGTAGCTGTCAATGAAAATCAGCTGTGTGCGTTGACATGTTTATCGAAGATTTTTTAAGACATAAAAAAATCACGTTTTCTTTCATCGTTTAGCTTGTAAGTTAATTCTGCAACTGTTTGATTATGAATGCACTAGTGCATGACAGCCTTTACAGAAACACATCAACGCCTTTGACGTTAAAGGGGTCATCAGATGCAAATTTCACTTTTACGTGTTGTTTGTACATAAATGTGTGTTGGCAGTGTGTGTTACACAACCACCCTATAATCATAAAAATCCACCCAGTGTTTTTTTTTTTTTTTGATCCCTATAAATAATATCCCCTTTCTCAAATCATTAGCATTTAAAGAGACATGCAACAAAACGGGTTGCTGTGAAGTTAGCTGTTTTTGACAGGGTAAAAAGGGTGTTGTTTTACACTACCATTGAGAAAATTTTAACCAAAGTATGTTATAAATTTTTTGATTAAGACCCTAAAGCATCATATCAATTTGTGGAAAATGGGCATCTGATGACCCCTTTAAGAGTTGTGAAACTTGTGAAATGTCTCTCACCAAACATTGTACTGTTTGTGAACATCACATTTCGAGTACCTGATCACGTTAGTTTGGGATTGTATGTATCTTTGCTACATTTTAGCATGGATAACTTGTCAATAA